GGGGGGACGATTTGTGCCTGTTGCTCGTGGACACCACAATTTCCCCCTTCCCTTGGCTCTTGTATCTTTTTAACCGAAGTGTCGCGTGTTAGTTTTTTATGGCTGATGTTGTCTCTTAAGAAAAAGCATCTTCGGGGGGCTCTTTTCTTTCAGCGGCGCTGGCGCCTCTGGGGGTGACAACGTGCGTGAGAGGTGTTTTTCTAGACTAATGTGGTATGCCGAACAAGGAGGAGGGGGCGCAAGGGTAAGTGTAGCATATCATGTCATGTCTTGGCCCTCCTCTGAACTAGAGGGCCGCGCCTCGGCGTGTGCAAACGGGCGGGGCGGGGGTCGCGCAAACGCCCCCCCTTCCCCCCCGGCCCCGTGCTTCAAGCCCGCGGTTTTCGTAGTTGGCCAACTCCGTTGCATTTCTGAATGTATTGTCCGAAAGTCCCTTAGCCGTGTCTGCTACACTGCCGTTTCGTGTTTTTTTTTTTTCCTGTTCGTTTTCAGCGTCGGTGTGTCATTCGGATTATCATGCAGGTTTTCAGGTCGGATTATCAAAGGTCGGAAGAGCCATTTTGGAAGCGGCCCTATGTACGCGTAGAGGAAGAGAGTGGGTAGTGTTGGTGTTGTTGTTGGTGGTGGTTGTTGTTGTTGTTGTTGTTGTTCTCGGTAGAGAGATAAGACAGGAACGGCCACGTGTTTGGTACTAGCAACTTCGTCGGTTGTCGGGGTCTTCACGCCGCCAGCAAGCTTAAAGATGTTGGGCGGTCTGAACCCGGCCTTGGGCACGTAAACGCTTGAGTGTGCACACCGGGCGGTGCGGTTGACGCTCAAGGGTCTTAATCTTCCTTTTCGAGGGGGCGGGCAGGACGTGGGGGAAGTGGCTGTTCGTCGGGCACGGAGGCGGGGATGGAGGGGGCGGGGGGAGGCAGCCCCTTTCTTTGCCCGCGGGGACCCCCCTGATGCGCCTCAGCACTCTTTTCCTGCGCTCTCTCGGAGCTCGATGTGGTCGGGACCGTTTGGAGAGAGAGAATGAGAGAGTGCGAGTCACGGGCGGTACGGGGAAGGAGGAAGGATGGGACGAGTAGGGAGCTGGGTCGGGTATCGCTGGGCATCATCTGTACCGGTTAGACTGCGCTTGTTGTTGTTGTTGGAGCGGTGGCGGCTTGACAACTATAACATGAAAAATGCGGGGCATTGTCACTCAGAATTGACCACCACCTCGACGGGTACAGGGCGGGGGGTGGGCGGGGGTCAGGCTACGAGGCGTCTGCTTTTAGTTGTGGGGCGAGGAATTCAAGGAAAGTCCATCAAAACTCTCTTGTGGTGCTGAGTGTAGGGCTCAAGCTAGACAACAAGGAGATGGCTGGGGATAGGTTGCTGGTTAATAGGGTGAGGTCACTGTCATGGTCAACATAGAAACACGTAAAAGAGAACGAATGGTGGAGGAACAAAATGGCGCCACCCGCTGCCCCGGATACACAGCAGTAAGTGAGCAAGATATTTCTCGCAAAAGGTAGCGTACTTCGGTGTGCTCGGGGGCTGACTTCGTGTCGTATGCTCGCAAATATATATATATAATGATATCGGTGTTTACGCTTTAGTGCAGGGATTTTTATTCTTGTGGTCTGGTAGGGTTGGGCAGGGAGGGAGGGGGCTCCGTGAGGGTGAGGGGAAATCGACGGTGTGGTAGTGAGCGGCAATGTTGCGGTGCCCCTCCACTCGCTGGCGGTGCTGCTGCACGATGGATGCGGTCTGGTCGCGTCATCATCTCCCACCCTGTATCTACCTTGTCGCCTTGCTTTTACAATGGGGTTGTTTTACTACGAAAAAGAACGGGACGAACACCTGCGAACGTACTGGTCGCATTCGAATGTTAATAAGCACCAGTATGGCAGGCACATATTGCAGTCATCCGTTGGACATGTAATTTTCTATGCCGCAGGAAGAGAGGACGGAGAACCACAAAGTACGGCTAGGTTGGCGCGACGACGCCGGGAGTGAAAAATCAAACGACACAGCGCATGATGATTACATGGAGTGGTCGTCTGATTGTGTCCTGTTTGTTGGCATGCCTAGCATTGATTGTCCGATGCTTGGATCGGGGGGGGGGGGTTCTGCCGGCCGTGCAGACTTAGAGGCAATAAGGAAAGGAAGGATGAACAATGGTCCCCACTGCTGTTGCCTTGCTGGTGTCCTTTGGGGCGGGGATTGAGTTCGCGCTGCGGCGGCGTGAGTGACCGTAAAAAAAGGTGCCATGAATTACTGCTGTACACACAACATTTCGAAGGAGCCATGCTGCTAGTTGTAGCTCCCTTGAAACATGGCACAACTTATGACTTACGACATTCCAATGGGTCATGCCGCTGGGTGTCAGCTCCCTCCTTGGTATTTAGCGCAACGTGCCCACAGCAAAAGCAGCAGGACATGATGACGAGATGGAGCGCGGCGTATGCTATTAAACAAGCTTGCTTTTCCGAGAGCACCAGCTGTTATCTGCTGCTGCTGAAATAGAACTCTCCAGGCAACTCATTCAAGGAAATGGAAATTCCTCAATTGCAAGTTGAGGTTTCTGACGCAAACAAGATTTTTTAGGACAGAATTTCAGTGTCAAAATACTATTTCTACAGCTACTGCGCGGATAACAACTTCAGCTACATAGCGCCCGCACTCCCATTTCCAAGGCAGATGAGAAATTAATATAGCCTCGAAATAATGACAAAATCTTAAGAACTTGAGCAAGCACCATTTGTGAGCTCGGTTAAGAACCCCCACATGAAAACCTCTATTGTGGCCATTAGTACCGTAAACCCTAGGAACGAAGAACCCCACTCTCAACCAAAATCAGATGTTCTTCAATGCGGGCGTCTACTGTAGCACTGGTATTATAATATCTACATTACAATCAAAGATAGACTACCTGTTCGAGATATACTTGCAGTCTGACCACAGATAGTGGAAGGGAATGAGTTCAATCAACTCTTTGCAGTAAATCGCGGAGTGCAGGCGCCTACTGCATGTACCAAAGAGCATGTACCAAAGAGCGTGGTCACCAACATCTACTATCTGGGAAAGAGCGGCGTCCGACCCCCCGCTGAGGCCGGGTCGGAGCCGCTCCCTCTCCGGTGGCTCCCGTGCGTGTGCCTCGCGCAGTGCTGGGCGATGCGGCTGCCAAACTGGATGGCGCGCTTCGGGAGGCGCCTGCAGCTCTCCAACCCTAAGTGGGAGGCCACCTGTGAGCAGAGAGAGAAGGGGGGGGAGCGGGGGGAGAGACAGACAGAGACAGAGACAGACAGACAGACAGACAGACAGACAGACAGACAGACAGACAGAGACAGAGAGACAGAGAGACAGACAGAGACAAAGAGAGAGGGAGAGAAAGAGAATAGGTGTTGTATGGGTAGCGCCAAAGGCGAGGTATGTCATACGTGGGCGCTAGACCAACGAAGGGCGGAGCGAAGGTACGACGCACGTGGGTGAATTACGCTCAATCCTACCCCCCCCCCCCCGAGACTTTCGATGGCTTCACCGTCAGTTCTGCGGACGCAACAGACCCCTCCGAACAGATTGGTTCAAACGCCGGAATGTTTCCTTGCTACGCCCAAACGTTAGATAAAGAGTCACTTGGAGTATCCCTTGGAACACAACCCTACAACACAAGCAGCGTCACAAAGCGGACGACGTTTAACCTCTGTGCATCCACGCACGTTGTTTTTTCGCTACATGACAAACAGGATACTTTCACGGACACCGGACGCCCACATGTAGTAGTGCAGACGGCAGCAGCAGCAGAGCGGATGCTATGTGTTGCAAACTCAAACCAATGAATGTTTCGTCCTTGTCTTCCAACCAATAAATAATAAAACATCCCACACAAAAGCAGCAGCCTTCGCAGGAGTTCCTCGATTCAGAAAATTAAGTAAACATGTTGGAAAATGCATACAATCGGGGAAGTTGGGTTATAGGGTTAGGGCTAGGGAATAGGGCCTGCGTCCCCCCTCCCTCTTCAATTTCCGAATAAACTTACTAGTCTCGCGAACGCGGTTCAACAAATACACAGTTCGAACACAGTTTCTTAGCTGGCACGACCTAGATCATCCCTATCCTCGAGACCAAACCGTTTTTTTACTGGTGGTCCTTTTTGGCCCGGACAATCGTTCCCAAAGGTATTCTTTGCACCTCGGTGGACGCCGACGTGGACTCATACTAACGTGGCATGCATTCCGTTGCTCGCAAAAAAAAGTCTCGCGCTTAAGCGTGGTGGGCGCGGATGGATGTGGATTCAAAGCCTGCATGCATTACTAGTTTTGCCCGCAGAGGTAGGTCTTGCATGTCGTCGGTGGACGCCGACGTGGACCCTTGATCAAGCCGGCATGCGCTACAATACTACTATAATACTTTGCTTCATTTCACCTCTCGCAGTACTTTCTTGTCCCCGATTCCCACTGGCTCGTCCATGTTGCAAACTTCCCGCAGCGGCAGACACCTGGTATTTTTCGAGCGCCGCCACATGGATGTCCACAGCGGTAGCAGAGCAGAGAAGACGTTGTCTGCTTGAGGGTATACCAACGGGGAAGGCACTATTAGCAACAAAAACTCTCCAGCAGGTATCGGTCGAAAAATTGCTCCAGGTCGTTGAAGGACGCGCCCCGGCTAGAGCACGCGCGCGGGGTTGGGGGGGG